GGAGAAATACATTATACTAAAAAAATATATTTGCATTTTCGACTTGTTTTCTGAAGAATGATTCCTCGCTTTGATAATGGCTGGCACAAGATAGACAAAATTGGATAGAGATTAAGTGAAGTCAAAGGAATGCGTGCTGAGAAATTCGACATTCGAATAAAAAATTATAGTTGAGGCCAATTTCCCTTGGTTTCCGATGGGGTCACAAGGCCCTTGTCATGGTGAGGTGGTCCATAACGCAATAAAAATATTGTCTTAAACGATTGCATTTAAGAAAAAGATGTAGAGCCTTTTTCACGCCTTTCATCAATAGATAAGATAAAGAGAAAAACTATTTATAGCTTGGTTGAGTTACCTTAATACGCCCATAAATGAAGGATAAGAAAAGAAAAAACGTACATGCTAAGCGTCTTCTTTGTGTCTTGAGATGTATAGAAGTTTCTAAGTCTTTGACTGGACTATCAATATTAAGAGATTTAGCATTATGGATTTCACTAGGTCCATCGCATCGTAGCTCAAGTTCCTCTTCATCTTCTTCAGCTTCAGCAGACATATCCTCATCAGATGAAGCTTCACTCTCGTCAGAACTATTCTTGGTACTTTTTTTCCTTTTGGCCTGAACATCGAGACTTTTGAGCCAATTATCAAATTTAAAGTGCCTTTTCAGGGTCACTAGTGTCACTTCAACTGCGCTGGCTGATTTAGGACAATCTGAATTCACTTCTTCCTCATATGAATCATCATTTGGTGAAGTGATGTATTTGTTTTGAGGAGACTTGATCTTATAATTATTTTTACCAGAAGATTCGGGAGACTTAATTTTATTCTTGCTGCTAACCAAGAGAACAGCTTCGCGTTTTCGGCAACGTGTAACAGACATCCATCCTCCGCGAACTCCAAAACGAATAATAGTTTTAAAGGAACGATCTCGAATTGTAAATAGCTATATAAATTTAAGTAAAAGGTATATTAAGATAGACAAAATAAAATAAAATGCGTTTATATTAATGGACTAGCCTTCTTCAATTCCGAGGTGAGAGCAGAGGTTTTTTTGTTAGTATTAAAGTATTCGCAGATACGTTGTAGATAAATTGCAGGCGGAAACGGAAAATGGCGGTAATATGCGCTCAGATGTATAAGAACTCCTCTGGACGAAGTTAGTTTACCTGAATCTTTGGCAAGATAAGGCTGCCAAACTTATATAACGGGCGTAATTACCTGAACTGTAATTAGTCCTAGTTTTAATAATTTTTGCTTTAAATACCATAATGAGCCAGCATTGAATCCGATTGAAATAAATCCATCTACACCTATTGTTGGAATACCATTGAAGCGACTCCTGTGAATAAAAAACGGAAAGACTAACTTGGCTAGCAACTCAAGCATCAAATAGCAAGCAACGCTGAGCTCCCTACAAGATGAATAAGTTCCAAGAAGAAATTCTGATCTTTTGAATTGTGATGCAACTATAACCAGCCGCTCTCCCCATCTAGGAATTTTAATGTTTATGCATATTACTTTTCAGCAACCTCTGACAGACTCATTGGATGCTTATCGTTTTTAATCTTCTCAGTGACATCAACACGCGAAAAATAAAATTTGCATGAACCAACTTCACCATTTTGATTTATGGGAAATACTTCAAATGGTTTTATGTCGTTCTAATATATTATAAACATATAAATAATTACCGGAGTAATGTAAGAAATGTCATCGTTATGCTCTTGTAAAAATTTTAACCGGTCAAAGGCCTTTCGCTTAGGATAGTTTTCTGGCAGAACAAAAAGCTTAATCCAGGGTAGTTTGATGATTTTATTCCAAATAAATTCCTTAGAATATTCATCAATTTTAAGAGAAAACTCAGAGACAGGATCGGATAGTCTTTCCCACAGCATACTAAGCGTCGAACCTTCCAGACCCTCAGAAGCAATTTCTTGAAAAAGGAGGCTAAAAAAATGCGACGGCATATGGGGAGG